CTGGTGTCTTATCAAGTGAATGTAGAATAAAGAGTTTTGAAAAGGTTCAAGTCAAACAGACACCACTCGATAGGGGAAAATCTGTTACATATGATATAATGATCAATCAAAATACAAGTATATGAAAATTAAAAAAAAAAAGTTGACAACTAAACTTGTTAATAATTATTAATGCTTAATGTTACACTAAAATAAAAATTATTCTGATTGATATTACATTTTAATCTAAAATTGAAAATTAAAATTTACCAATTTTAAATTTTAATTTAATCAGCATTAAGTTTAAAATATTACAAATTATTTAAAGAAGGAATTTTTTATTATTTATTTTGTTTTAATTGAAAAGACAATCACTTGATAAGACACGAGAAATGTTGAAAGAAAATGGCTTTTTTGTAGTGTTTTATAACATATTCATGTTATAATTTTCGAATATTTTATATTTTCTCAACTCTGTATTGAGCACTCTTTTAAGAATAGTATTTTTGGGATTTATTCCGTAACCTCCAATCCTATACTTGTGTGTATATATATATATATAATATTTTTATTATGTATATTTACATATATATATATATATATATATTATAATAAAAATAATATATTTGGCTCGACTTTGTATTGAGCATTTTTTTTCAAAAAGTAAATGCTAAGAACTGTGCACTCTTAATCTCTTCGTTCTTTCTCTTTATTTGGATATCTTTTGTGATTCTACATATAAAAATGTTAATTTTCCGATGACCAGAATATTTTTTCCTCCAAAATCATGAACACTAAATACTTACTCTATAATAAACAATACCCTGATGATGATCTTATGTTATGTCGAAAGTACTCAGGATATATACAGTATGAGCCAACAGAGTGTTTTCCTCCTGTCTTTTAATAACCGCACAAAGAAGCTGATACGCAAATGTGAAAGGATCTTATCGAGAATAAGTAGACAAATCATATCTAAATTATTTAACGAAGCCTGTTTTAATATACATACATATATGTGAGTATGTGCGTGTATGTATGTATGCAAGAAAAAACAAACAAAAATAATATTAAAATTGTCTACAAAATCAAGTGCATATTAACTATAAGCAAGACGAATGTTCATGTACAAAGATTATAAAGAAACACACAAATCGAGAAAATGTTAAATTAATTATTTAATGGAAAAATATTAAATTCGTTAACCTAATCATTCTAAATAATAATTCCCATGTAACATCCAAATTACAGAGAGCGAACATTATTTACGAATTCACATGTCCCTTAAGGAACTATGTCCCTGATCAAAATAAATTAATAAATAATTATATTGGATGTAATGTAAAATAATTAAAAAGAAGACACCTGTTATATCTCTCTAACCATAGCTCAATTACATTTAATTTAAATACACATGGCGACCTACCAAAATTTGTCAGTAACTTACTCGTTCATAATACAAATATAATAGTATAATCCAAATGTAAAAATAGGCTACAAATATTGGAAGCATTAGAAAAAAAAGAAAAAGCCAACACTGAATAACATAAACTATGGACACGGCCACTATATTTTGATCGTGTTTGAAAATAAAACATCCGTATAACACTAGATAAATGTATAAAACAATGCATATATTCAGTTAAACGTAAAATAAATTTCATCCTTGATAATGGGTGAAAGCGTTTGGATATATATAACATTCGGACATTTTTATATAATGTATGTCCTGAGAATGACAGAATTATTAGAGAATTAAAAATTATATGAAATATTAACCATAGCACCATGCCAGTCGTTTTTAACGAAACTTACCTAAAAGAGAGATTACTGGTCAAATAAGCAATATATATTTGCCTGTGAAAAATCTTTCTAATATTATCTCGAGCTTTCAACCGAGTTAGATAGAAAGAATGATATATATATATATATATATATATATATATATATATATGATGTGTGTGTGTGTGTGTGCAAGGAAAAATAATATTAGTATTGTCTAAAAAAATTAGTGCACGGTAACTCTAAGCAATACGTATTTTCACTTAGAAAACTTATATAGAGAAATATACAACTCCAGTCGAAAAATGCAAAAATATTAAATTATTTCTTGGAAAACATTTAAAACAGTTAATCCATTCTTGAAAATTAGTAATAATTCTGCAATATTCTAATTGCAGAGTACCATTATTATTTACGAATTTACAAATTTCTTAAGGTGTTGTGTTCATGACCAGTACAAATTTGTAAATAATTCTATTGGATATACTAAAACATGTTTAACAGGAAATCGCATATTACATCTCTCCGACTATAGCTCAAATAGATATCATTTAAACACACATGGGGACCTAGCATAATCTATCCGTATCATATTCATTGATAAGACAAATATAATAGCATCACCCGCATGTAGAAAAAGGCTAAAAAATAATGGAAGCATTCAACACTCAATAATATCAACCAAGAACATTGTTACAATGTGCTGATGGGTTTGGAAATTAAAACATTCATATAATTCTAGATACATGCATAAACCAATGGCTATATTCAGTTAAAAGTAAGATAAAATTCATCCTTGATAATGACTAAAATTATAGCCGAAAGCACTTGAAAAACATTCGACTATTTTGATATAATTTATTCACTGAAAATTATATGAACGCATGAGAAATTATAAATTAAAAAAAAACCTCGGACTCAACCACCAAAACTTGTCACTCGTATCCAACGAACCTTGAAGAAAAGAGGGATCGCTGCCTAAATTCACAACACACTTGGTGTAACAGCAAAATTGTCTTGTGCTTAGATTAAGATTTGAACGGTTGTATGTTTAAATGATAAAATATATCTTACTGGAATTCTGCGATGATTTTAGTACAACATTGGATTCTACTTTGAGCAATGTGAATGTATAATTACTCTCAATCTCAACAAAATAAACATGATGAAATCGACGAGGAGCAAAAATAACATGTTCATAATTAATTAATCATTGCTAAGTATCGGAAGCTCATGAAGGATTGAAATAAATTTGAAATATATATATATATATATATATATATATATATATATATATATATATTATTCAGCATAATTTTCCAACTTATTCAAGATGATATTCGTCCACCCTATTCTCCAATCTGCTTCACATTTTTCACGTACAGTCAACGACGAAATTATTCGTACACCAATAAATTTTGAATATTTTCATCCATGTCTAAGAATCTAATGCCCGTATGATGTCAGTTTTGGTATATTTTAATAAACACAAAGAAAGGATTATAAAACTTAATTTTCAGAAGAATAGATTAAATAAAACAAATTTGGCAAGCGAATTATGCAAAATACGAAAAGAATTAAAAATATATATATATTCGTACAGTATGAAAACGAGAGACAAATTGAACGATCTTCACGGTATTAATAGTCAATAGCACGGTCTCGCATCTTTATAACTTGCTGCAATCGTTTTCTAAAGTTTTGGATGAGATTTGAACAAGTCTTTTCTGGGATCTTAAATCCATTCTTTAATGTTTAGACGTTCCAATATCCTGAAAGGTTTTGTTGAACAATTATTTATTTGAACTTTCAATTATTGCCATAGATTTTCAATAGGATTCAAGTCAGGACTCAATAAATGCCATGGCATCTTCTTTTTCTGAAGCGTGCAGTCACACATTTAGACGTATGTTTGGAATCAGTGAAACCATGAGTTTCTTAACAGTGAAATGAATTGACTTTCTCATAGAGAATTTTATGAGCCTTTCGAAGAATTTGCATGTTGGTTTGAAGAACCTAGGCATGTACTTTCTGTTTGGAAAGTGCTGTAGAATCCCTGTTAGTAGATGCCAACTCTTTGCAACATTTGAAAAACAAAGCGCCGTGCGATTTCCAAGAAGCAAACAATGTCTAAATCACGATTACTCTGTCTTTAAGGCAAAGATTACAGCGTGGTTTTGCAGTTACGCAGTTAGCCTTGTGCCAGTGTTCATTTGCCTGAAAAAAATGATAATCAGAACAAGTTCAAAACGGTTACAGACATTAAAACACACACACACACACACACACACACACACACACACACACACACACACACACACACACATATATATATATATGTATATATATACTTTCAAGATATTTTTATAACTTTGAACATTATTTTTAGTGGATACTCGTATGTGAGTAAATGCTCCCTTTATTACGATTATCCAGCTAAAATATCGTTTAAAGTGCTAAAATATATCCGATTACTAAACATCTGTTCTAAAAATTATCTTTCTTTACTTTTGGATACTAAATTATGAGCAGTTATGATAAGTTTCGTTTGAAAGCATGAGTTTAATATAAATAAATAATTATACTGTTTAAGAAATAAAAAAAAATGCCTAGTAAAATACTAGTAAGTATTAAAATTAACGTTTGAAGTGATACAAATCTCTCGGATTATTAAAATTATCTGTTCAATATATATATATATATATATATATATATATATATATATATATATATATATATATATATATATAAAAGGCTCAAACAGTAATATTCGATGGTTAACATTTATTACATCAGAATCGTTATTACGATCCAATTCATCAGACTTACAAATTTTAATGTCTGGTGAATTGGATCATAATTACGATTCCAATACAATAAATTATAACCATGGAATATAAATGTTTCAGCCTTTTTATTATATTCTTGGTCTGTCTTGGACATTCAGCTCTCTCTGGATTATATCGTCTTGGAAGTTTATATATATATATATATATATATATATATATATATATATAAGATAAAAGGAAACCTATTTTTAGAAGACGCGTTTCCTCCGCTGTGGGACGTTGTCAAGTTAAGTATAAAAGCTTATTTTGTTGCATGCGTTTACCTACTAAAGCAAGGACGTCATTGATTTACCATGAAATATGTGGAGGACGCATAATTCCATAATTCAAAGTCTGGTAAGACATGTTTAAGTGAATAATATTCAAGAATTTTTTAAATGTATAAAATAAATGTGTAAAAAATCTATCTATCTATCTATCTATCTATCTATCTATCTATCTATCTATCTATCTATCTATCTATCTGTGTCTCTCTCTGTCTGTCTGTCTCTCTCTATATATAGACATTTATATATATATATATATATATATATATATATGTATGTATAAAACAAAAGAAACATGTGTGAGTATATATATATATATATATATATATATGTATAAAACAAAAAAGAAACATGTGTGATATATATATATATATATATATATATATATATATATATATATATATATATATAAACCCTGAGCCAGACAAACCTACCCAGGTTTCAGCTAAGCGGTGACGATCCGCTTAGGTGAAACCTAAAACAAATTGTCTGGCTCACTAGTTTTATCTAGGTCTGCACTATGGTTGTATTGATCTCTTTGATAAGTTAGTTGTTTACTCATGTCGGGTTTTTTTTCTCTGGGCTTTGAACCTGAATCTGAATCTGTGCGATCTTTTTCGACAGACTTTCATGTTTCTAGCTCTTTCTTTTTTAAAAAACTTTTTTTCCCTCGGGATTTATTTGATTAATGGCAAATGAAAAATTCGGGTGTTTTTCGAAAAGTGTATAGTTATCTACATCTATATCTAATCTATCTATCTAACTATATATATATATATATATATATATATATATATGTGTGTGAAAAGTGAATATAAATATAAATAAATATATATATATATCTGAAACCCAGGGTCACAAACTCACATCTATACAAAATAAATATATATATATATATATATATATATATATATATATGTATGTGTATGTGTGTGTGTGTGTGTGTGTGTGTGTGTGTGTACAAATTTTAATTGGTCACATTTGTCTTAACTATTTTAGAATTATAGAATTTTATGTTCTCCTACAATCTGATGAATATTCATGAACGTTCTCATATTTACAAAACTTATTGAACAAATAATGTGGGAAAGAATTGGGACAATAAAGATTTTACCATCTCTCTTTTTTCTTTTATATTCTAATTTTGGCTTTATAATTAATGTGGTATTTTGAATTTGCTGTATTTTGGGGAAACATATTAAGAAAGTGTTCAAGTTTTGAGAGAGTGACGTGTAAATTCTACTTAGGAATGAGCTATAAGGAAAACAGACCTTTTTTTAGATACATTAGTGAATTACATAATCTAGTCGAAATGTGCAAAGAAAATGAATTGCTTCGGGAAGACAGTTAGTGATCTCATCTATTCTTATCATACATGACACATGAAAAGTTTCTAATTCAAGGGATTTGTAATCCACTCTACGATGCTCTGTTGCTCCTTGCATCAAAATTAAATTCAAGAAAAGAACTTTAAGAAAAATTATAAAAAAACACTGTCGATCTTACCCTCTGAACGCTTTTTGGTTATTAAAAAATGTGCTTATTTCTGTCCTTTTTTTTTAGTGCATAACAGAATCAATTTTCAGATAAAGGCATCGATGATTTTTTGCTGCTTCAGCTCAGCTCATAGGAGTATATTTGGAAATTGAACATTGAAAAGAGACGTGGACCGGAAGCTTTGCCTCGTCCTGTGATAGACTGGTGATTTACTCTTAGCATAAAGAAAAGCGTTCGAATTATCACACTTGATATCGTGTTTTTATAAAGAAGCGGCTAAACTGACCGTGATTAAAATGTTAAAGCTGTAAATATACATTTCTGTTTTACGAAATTTTTGTTGCACAATTAAAACATATAAACGTGATATCTCCTTGCGATGATATGACGTGAGAGTCTTTACCTTCGAAAAGCATCTCTTTCTTGTCTTTCAAGCTTTTTCATCAATCACTTCAGCATAATCAAGACTCTAAAGCTACTAATGGGTTACTGAGTGCGACTGCTACTATTAAGGATAGAGGGAAATAAAATATCATGAATTAAGTATTTATCTTTTTCCTTCTCCTTAATGGGTTTGCAAAATATATTAATGCCAGTTTGACTGGTTGATAAGAAGAAAACTCAAAGAAATAGCTGGGTCATTGGGACGTCACTTGCCGCGAAATGCACACATCACCTTTAAAGGAAACGATCGGTAATATTCTCATTGATCAATATATTTCGTCTTTCATGCAGACCTGAAGGCCACACCACTACTTATATATATATATATATATATATATATATATATATATATATATATATATATATATATATATGTCCATTAGTTCAGTGTACTTTATTAAAGGGATTTTTTGTAACTGGAAAATCTTAATTTTCCACAGTTACAAAAATCGCTTTAATAAAGTACACTGAACTGATGGATATATATATATATATATATATATATATATATATATATATATATATATATATATATATATATATAAATTTTCTCGATGCACATTTTAACAACACAAAGACGCAGTTTTGTTTCAGTTAAAAAAAGAAAGAAATGATGAAAGACAGAAGACGTCACAAAGATCCCATGAATTTGACAGGTTCAATATTTTCGTTTCATCCTCTTATTTAAATAATAACCTGCATTATTTTTTAAATATTATGTTAAATTTGTAAAGCTCTAATATTTAAAGATGTACTCGGAAATTTTCTACAAGTATTTCATATTCATAGAACTGGCTAGCAGCTTATTCAATCATGAACTTAATAATTATGATTATTCAAACAATTCAAGCATTTACTACTTGAATTGTTTGAAGAATCATAATTATTAAGTTCATGATTGATATTCGTTGGTTGTTTAAATTTGTTTCGCGTCACGTAAAGCACTATGTGTTATTTAATGTCGAAATCTAAATAGAATTTTTTTTTTTACAGATTCACCAACATATATTTTCCTCGCAACAATATTCCAATAGATAAAATATATTCTTTGCCATTTTCATATAACATGTATTGTTAATTCTACTACAAAATTCTTTGCTAGTCATTTTATTTTAAAAATGTATCGTTAGTTATTTTACTATAAATATTTATTGTTGGTAATTTTACCTATGAAAATGAATTGCTCATATTTTTTGTAGAAAAATATATTTTTTATAATTTCATTTTGTTTTTTTGGTGGGGTTTCAATATTTAGGCACAATTTGGACACTAACAGGTGCTACTAATTCTGATCAGAGTGGATCTGAAAGAAACATAAATTAAGAGCTTGTTCCATGCTCATTAATATCAGTAATCTCCGGAAAAGAGGCCTTGCTGCCGGATGTAATTTATCGTCAAAATCGTGAAATATTACCGGAAATAATAACATAATATTAATTCGTTTACACAAAGGCAGAACTAAAAAAAGATCGGAATAAAAATGATAAAAGGCGTTACGATATCATCTTAATTCTTTATAGTAGGCCTAGAAATATTTTCCAGCAACAGAACTGTTAAAGCTGAGTTTTTTTTTTTTTAGAAAGGAAGTATGTTTAAAATCCCTTCCATTTGTTGGCAAAAGTGTGCTTGGAGTATTAGAATATATCCTAAATGAACCAAAAGAGAATGTATGTACGTAGATAAAATAATATATATATATATATATATATATATATATATATATATATATATATATATATATATATATAAAACATAGAAATTGTTAATTTGTGACGTTCGGAAAGATAATGAAAATAGATGTCCCTGAATGCATATACATGACAGAGCTGAAAACATTAAAATAAAACCAGAAAATATAAAATGTGATGCAAAGTAGTGTGTATATATTGGGCGGAATTCGATTGCCTCCCGCCAGAAAAAAGATTAAAAAAATAAAATGAAAGAGATATAAAAAGAAAAATGAGAAAACAAGTTTTCCGAAGGTAATTTGTATAACGAATGTAAAATGGAAAACTATGGTGTGTGCACGCGAAACAGGTAAATTAACAAAATTCCCTACAACAAAGGAAAACATACTCAAAAGACAACAGATACCGCAATGTTGTTGAAAGTATAAACAGCCAGAAAGAGGCCAACCTGATTAGATAACACAAACAAGAAATATTAACGAAGTGATTAAGCGAGAAAAATTTGAGGCGAGATGAACAAAGCGAATAGAAAATTTTATTATATCAAATGAGTTGAATAGTTCCATGATTGTTGCCCACTGCGTAGCAAGGATAGTATTTTAAAAGAGGAGTGAACATAATAGTTTGTAGGTATTACTTAGCAGTGAATAGTACAGATAATAATACCATTATAGAAGGATCTGAGAAAGCCTATGTTATTGTAGCTAACTACAAGAGACAATGATGACTCATACCTATAATTTTATTTATTGAACCTAGTGACCTCATCTTAATCAGTTCACCCCAAGCAAGACAGTAATGCGTCTAGTGTGAATGGGGTTAGAGGGTTTGAAGTGAAAGTGAAAGTGAAAGTGAAAGAGAAGACTGAGAATAAAGAGGATTGAGGAAAGGGCAAAAAAGGAACAAGGTTGAAGAAAACAGAAGATGCCGATTGACTTTCACATTAAACTTTTGAAGGTTTTAGTTATCAGGGAAGCAAGGAAACGAAAAAGACTTCCACAGGTAAGGAGTGCGAGAAATGAGACTCCTGGAGTCGAAGTGGTAGAAGTACTTAGTTCTTTCAAGAGTAAAACGGTTGAACACAGTTGCAAATCTAGTAGCACACCTAAATCCATGCTTTCGGGACACGAGAGAAAAAGTCCCGACAAAGGAGTGCCATGAAAATATTTGTAGAAAAAGACAGAGGGAAGCCAATTTACGTCGGTGATAAAGCGACTGAAGTCGAGATGCCTAATCATGATCGATTACATTAGAGATATTTCTATGGATTTTGTCATTGTAGGTACAAAATATAATTGGGACAATAAAACGTGCCATCGCCTCCTCTGTATTTTTAGGTAAATGCTAAATTTAAATTAAAGTCGCTTGAAAATGAAACAGAACTAGGGACTTTAATTTAGTTCTATAATTGAATTTGAAGTATTTATCTTCTGTTTTTGAAACATGGTAATGCTTGTGTAGCGATGGAACCATTTTTTTTAAATTTATAATATTTATGCTCTGCAGATCTGCATTGAGCACTGTTTAGTAAAAATAAAAAAAAATATTAATAAGCACACTAGATTATATATACTTTCAGCAATCGAGTTGTAACGACTGAGAGCAATAAATGGTTAAGTGATTTTTTGTTTCTTGTTTCTATTTTCATATAAAAAACTACCGCACTTTTTGTTTTCCATTTTTGTCGCTTTTATCTATGTCCATTTTCACTGCCTTAATCCAAACCCCTGAAAGAGAAAAGAAATACCATTTAGCGACTTGGATAACATTCGAGAGACGAATGTTTAGAATATCATGGCTAGAACATGTGAATAATGAGTAAGTTTTAAGAATCACAGAAACTTATACGTGTTGAGCGCATTGGACTTGTCATTCTTTCGCTGCGCCTGCGAATCATGAAGATTAACAGGAGACTTACAACAGAAATGCAAGTATGAGATATTAGCGCTACAGAAAAAAATAAGAGACATCTCCGACGTATACCATATAACAAATTGTTTTTTGTTTTTTAAATTAAATCATATAATAAGTAATCTATACGTGATAACCAACCTAGCATTTCGATCTCACCTCAGTTATAGTAAGGCTAGTAAGCAATGTTGATACTAAAGAATAATATTCTGACAGTATAACAAGAACGTTACATTTAATGGATACTCATATCTGAGTAGACGGTCTTTTAATTTTTAGACAGTATATATATATATATATATATATATATATATATATATATTGTAATAAAAAGAAAGAAAAGTAAGATATATAATCCGGTGTTCTTATTGATTTTTTTTAAAAAAATAGTGCCCAATTTAAATTTACAGAGCATTAATATTAAGTGATTTACAATATGGTTTCTTCGCTACATAGGAATTACCAAGTTTCAAAAACCGAAGCTAAAAACTTCAAATTTAATTATTATTTAAATTAAAAGCATTAGTTCTGTTTCATCTTCAAGCGAATTTTGGAATAAATAAATTTATACAATAATAGTTAATATAAAAGAACACGCTACCACCTCTGACTAAATGATTGGATTTCTCTGTATCCTTGGAAACAAGAGATTATGAAATGTATGTGCGGTTAAAACTCAGTAAATGTAAAAATAAGTTAATCAAAAATACGCTTGAATATGAAACAGAACTAATGCTTTTAATTTAAATATATAATTAAATTTGAAGTTTTTAGTTTCGGTTTTTGAAACATGGTAATTCCTGTGAACCGAAAAACCATATTTTAAATTAGTTAATTTATAATCTATACAATATATATATATATATATATATATATATATATATATATATATATATATATATATATATATATATATATTGCAGAGCGTATATTCTTCTCTAATAAGAGTTATTAAGTTTTTAAGCCGGCGGAGGAAAAGTATAAATATATACACTTTAATAATTAAACTGAGTGACTACTCAAATATGAGCATCCATAAAAATAGCGATTAAAGTGATTCAAAATCTGTCGGATGAATAAATAGAAAACCCATTACTTGTTTAGAAAATGTAAAAAAGGTAAATTATAAAAAATAATGAATTGGCCAAAAAATTTCGTCCCTTTTGTTCATTATTTTTTGTTCCAACCAGTAGTGTTTCATATCAGAAATACCCAACTCAAATAATGTCACGGCTTTAAATACGCAATTTAGCAAGATCCCTTTAAGTTATGCGCTGATCCCTCTAACAAACAAGGCTTTTTATAGCATAAATACCAGAATAAAATTTATGTTGAAAACTATTCATTTAAAGTCCTCACTAATCAGAGAGAAAAAAGGAAAACATTTATTATAATTGCTATGAAGGATCCATTATCCATTTTTATTACAATGACATCAAAAATCGGATTCAATTGTCGGTGATATCAATGTGGAGAATGATTGAAATTTTCTTTATTTTTTTGACTATTGTCCAGTTGCTTTGTACAGTTTTCATATTTCGTGAGATATACAGCAATTTGTTTATATCTTATAGGGACAGACATAAATGAAAAGAAGTCTTTCTAGAATGGATTAATTGATAACACATGTTTAAAGAAGAGATATTAAAGAGTAATGAATATGTAGTATTTTCCATGTAAAAGATTTTCCCTTTCGAAGACACTTGAAGAAATGGGAGGAATTTGTTCTGTTTTTTAGATTGCCAAAAAAGTAAAAACAGTATTACTTTCGATTCTAACGCCATGGACATTCTCTCACACTATTATCATAAAGATGTAATTATACGAAAAATTAATTGGCATGTTAATGTAATTAATGGTGAAATCTCTTCGCTAACAAGATTTAATAGGGCATTACCTTACTAATAATTTATTGAATAACGCGATTTAAATTCTTGTCAGATATGATGTCGCTAGGACGAAAAATTTCGAAAATTTCACATTTTCATCTTCATGGCTTATATTTGCGATTCACGACGAAAAAAATTCTGTGTATATCGAAAGATGTTTTTGAAAAATATGTTTTTTATTGGCATTTATATAATTTTGGAACGTGCGGTGACGCAACGCTACAGTTATAATTTAAATATTACAAGTTAGAAATTTTTGTTTGTGATTTTCAGTTAATGTGACATGGACTAAAATTATAATCCCAAAAATAGAGTAAAATCTCTAGTGTTGTGACACAGCATGTTGCAAAATTATATTACTGCCAATAAATAACATATATTTAACATGACATTTTACACTGCATTTGTTTTGTCTTGTAGTTTACCTGGAATAGAAAATATATGCACTGAAGATGAAAATGTGAAGTTTTCGAAAATATTTGGCCTAGCAATATCATATCTATCTGACAACAATTTAAACATAAGAGCGCGTTATTCATTGAATTATTATTAAGCTAATGGCTTATTAAGTCTTTTTAGCGAAGATATTTCGCCATTAATTATATTAATATTGCACATTAATTTTTGTATAATTACCTCTTTTTGATATAATATATATATATATATATATATATATATATATATATATATATATATATATATATTATAAAATGGACAAAATTCAACAATTTTTTTTAGATATTTTCTTATGTTTATATGTTCTTTTTATAACTACAAATATTTAAGTATTTCATTTCCAACCTTCGTTTTTTGGCTATTCTTCATTTAGTAACACTTTCTAGATTACAACAAGATATATATATATATATATATATATATATATATATATATATATATATATATATATATATATATATAACAAAAGGAAAATGTTTCATTGAAACTAGATTTGATTACGTATTTCGCCTTTTAAGTATTCATCCTTTTTAAAGATTAAAGAAGGGTGCGTGTGTATGCATGCGTGTATTTGTGTGTGTGCTTAAATAATTAATCATAGTATTTTTTCCATAAGCTGGCTTTTTTCGCGATAAAAGAAGAAAGAAAATGAGTAACTTTTTAAGAAGCCGTTGATATTTTTTATGCACCTTTTATAATTTTTGTTCATGTCGAAAGACGTTAATATAGTTTTTCTAGCTTTTTATCGAATTACACTTAAATCCTCATCTCATTTTCTGATTGGCTCCAAAGCAAAACATTCATACAGCCATATCTGAAACGAATCCAAGGCAAATCATCATCCACTCCTGCAGAATGAGTTGAAAGTAAATGATTTATATGTTTTTATGTCTGTACATGTGATTTCCGTGTCAACAATATGTTTAATATCTTACTTATTATAAAACGCAGATTGAGTGTGTGTGTGTGTGTGTCTGTAACGTTTATATATTGGATCGAATTTCCTACATTTTTCAACCGATTTCAACAAAATTTCACAGGACTACATAAAATTACCTTGCGGTGATTCTAACAGCGTGCAGAAAATCAATTTGAAAACACGATTAAGAGTCATTAATGAAAGGGGGACAACTCACATCAGCTTAAAAACCCAGTTTGTGTGCGTATGTGTGTGTGTGTGTGTGTGTGTGCGTGTGCGTGTTCATTTATATATGGGATCGGATTTCCTACATTTTTCAACTGATTTCAACAAAACTTCACTTTTTTTTTTGGCAGGTAGTGTTTCTTATTTTCTTGCGCACTTTTTTCTTTATTTTTACACTCAGAATGCTTTAAAAATTCCATTAACAAGACAATTGTTTATAATAAAATTCTATTCAATCGGTAGACTCATAACGATTGAAAACAATGTTTTTGTTTGAGTTTGGGTTTGACCAATTCGTAAAAAAAAAAAAAACTAATTAAGACATGCGTGTCCGTCAACCTTAAACAATAATCTAACGATCTCTACTGATTGTACGAATCCAAACATAAGATAATTCTTTAGGGACGTTTTTATAATTCCCTTTGCAATTTGGTACAAGGCAACGATAATGAATTGGTTCTATTTGAAATTAATTTAATATTTAAAAGAAAGTATTAATAAATAATTTTAAAATGCCGACGTAAGAAATCTGATAGACAAAAAACAAAAATATTTCGAAGATGAAAAATATTAAGGAAAGAACACGGTACTTAAATTGTACCCGAATTTACGAGGGGCTTCTGTATGTCTTGCTTAAGGGTTTACGAGAATTTTCGTTGTTTCATCAGCGAACTTCGACTCATAATTGACATTTTAAACTTCAATAATTGTCCACACGTTGGTGCTTTTCGGGCGCCAAGGTCATCCCCCTCCTCCTCTTACGGACGGCCTCCATACACGCACTAACGCAACAGGATACGCAATATTCGCTAAGAGAGAGAGGGGGTATTCTCACTCTCTCTTCTTTCACGTAAGGTTTGTGTTGAGAGGGGACGGTCACTATTACCGACCCTTCCCCATAATAATGACAGCGATATCTACCGTGATTTCCTCTTTCGCTGGCCGATTTTTTTAATAGAGAGTGGAACGTCACTCAAGGTCAACCATCTCTACTGCGTGACTCGGGCGTGCTTTCACACTTTGCGTTTATTGTTGCCCTTGCACGTACTTGGCCTACTTTTATTCGCCAACTTCGGATACCGCAAGTTGTTAATTATGTGTTCTAGCTGCTTTTTTGTTTTATAGTTCCAACCCAACCCTACACACGTTAGCCAATTGCACTAAAACCCCATTTCCATTTGGATTTTTACCCTTGGTTTACCTTTTTTAAATTTCCACTTTTAGTTTCGAGTTCCCTTGGAGTAACATCTGAACTCATTTTACTGGGTGTTTCCTTTTTGTGTCTACGTTAGCAGTGCACGATTTTGGATTTGTCGAAATCTCTTTTAAGCTTTACACTCTTTGACGTTTTTACTGTTTGGATGCCACCTAAAAGGAGGAAACTTTTGGGACGGCGCACAGCAGCTGCCTCCGCTGCTAGAGCAGCGAGGGCGAGTGAAACCCCTGAACAGACTTCTTTGCGTCTTTCACAGATGGCCTCGAGCTCAGCTGCTGGCTTATCCACGGAAAGCGCAGCTGCGCGGACTGAAAGGTTGGTTTCAGCGGCTTCGCCCATATCCGCATGCCGCGCCAGGCTTTCAGTTGAAGAACGTTCACTTCAGAATTCACAGGGCGCAGTCCGCGTGGCTAGGTTGAGGGCTTCACAGTCCCCAGCACAGAAAACCCTTCGTCGTTTGCGTGATGCCATCGTCAAAGCTTGCTCAAGGAGTTTAGAAAGCCCCGAACAAACAACTTCACGTCGTCATAGGAATACTAGGGCTACAGCCGCCTCTAGAGCTTTGGAACAACCTCAAGAAACCGCTCATCGTCGCTTTAGAAATGCCCTATCCACCGCATCTGCCAGAGCCTTAGAAAGCCCTGCACAGACCACTGTTCGTCGCATTATAAATGCCCGCTCCACTGCATCTTCTAGAGCCCTAGAAACCCTGCACAGACCACTGTTCGTCGCGTTAGAAATGCCCACTCTACTGCATCTGCCAGGGTTGCAGAAAACTCTGAAGTACGCCGTCAACGGCTCGAAAACATTAGCTCATTTCGAGCTTCTTTGAATGGCGTAACTTCACCGTCTGCATCATTTGGGTCAAATGCCGCATACAATTATGACTGCACTGTCAACTATTCCGCTAGGAGTGATGTACAAATAGGGGCCATGGATAAAGTTTGCAGTTTTTGCAACGCAAAAAAGTGGGCCGGTGAGCAACCTGGGCTTTGTTGCTCTGGGGGCAAAATCAAACTCCCTTCTTTAGACGAGCACCCCCCAGCCACTTAGGGACCTCCTTCTGGGTACAACTTCGAAGTCGACGCATTTTCCTGAAGCAATACGGAAGTATAACTGTTGCTTCCAGATGACGTCTTTTGGTGCGAAGCTATTAGTGAAGGGGGATGGATGCCTACTTTCAAAGTGCAAGGCCAGGTTTACCACTTAATGGGATCATTCTTGGCTGATCAGGGAGAGCCACCTCAGTTCCTACAAATTTACTTTCTCGCAGACTACAACGAGCAGGTTGATTCGCGTCTCGGCATTCTGCCTAGCGATATTTCCAACGGTCCCCGTAGAGACATTCTGTTCCGTCTACAAGACATGCTTCACGAAACTAACAGTTACATCCGAAGCTTAAAGTTTGCGTGGCAAAACAACTCTTTGCCCTCTTTCAGCGTTGTCATCGATGCAGACAGACGGCCTCACAGTGAGCATGAGCGTCGCTTCAATGCTCCTGTATATAATGAAATCGCCGCCGTCATCCACGGTGAGGAGCATAACAGCCGTGACACTGTCATAAGGTACCGGGGCGGTGGTCTGCGCCACATCAGTGGAACCCACCGTTCATACGACTGTCTCCAGTACCCCCTTCTTTTTCCATACGGAAGCGATGGGTACCACTTCAAAATCCAAATATGCCGCGCAAGCAGCGATTCCATGTCTACCTCAAAGACAGTCTCCTGTAGAGCTTACTACGCCTACATGTTTATGGTTAGGGAGGGTCAACTATTTCTTCAATTTGCTGTTGACATGGCTGCAAAAATGGAGTCGGAGAGGTTAGGATTAATCAAGTTAAACCAATCCAAACTTCGAACTGACTCCTACATTCACCTTCGTGATGGTCTGCGTTCTGATGGTGACCCACGCAATCTCGGCAAACCATGTATTTTGCCTTGCTCTTACACTGGTGGCCCTCAATACATGCATGAAAGGACACAAGACGCAATGACCTATGTCCGTCATTGTGGGAGGCCTTATTTGTTCGTCACGTTCACATGCAATCCGAAATGGGTTGATATTACACGCGAACTTTTTCCAGGTCAGCAGTACTCACACCGCCCTCGCGTAATTGCCCGCGTTTTCCGGTTACAGCTGCGTAAGCTTATGGATTTGATCATTAAAGGGCAAGTCTTCGGACGCGCCAAGTGTCATATGTACACAGTGGAATGGCAGAAACGCTGTTTGTCTCATGCCCACATCCTGCTGTGGCTCAACGATAAGGTTGACGCAAACAAAATAGACGATTTTATTTCTGCTGAAATTCCGGATCCTGCGTTGGAGCCTTTGTTCCACGAAATCATTAAAAAAAAAAATGATACACGGCCCCTGTGGTGCGAATTACGAAAAAAGGTCATGTTGGTCAAGCGGCCCCATTTGAGCAAAGGGTTACCCCCGTAATTTTATCTCAGAAACGCAGACTGCGACGGATGGTTACCCACTGTACAGACGTAGAAGCCCCGCTGAGAGCGGCAGAACTGTGACAGTTAAGGGTCACACTGTGGAGAATAGTTGGGTGGTGCCTTATTGCCCGCTGCTGTCCAAGACTTTTGGAGCCCACATAAACGTTGAATACTGCTACTCGGTTAAGTCAATAAAGTACATCTGCAAGTACGTTAATAAAGGCAGCGATGCTGCCGTCTTCGGTATCCGGCGCGACAATTGCGTTGACGAGGTGGCCGATTACGTGGCTGGACGCTATCTCAGCAGGAGCGAGGCCTTTTGGAGAATTTTCGGATGCCCCATACACCAAAGGGCTCCAGCCATTGTGCAGTTTGCTGTTCACTTAGAAAATGTACAGAGGATGTACTTCACCGAACAAAACACCCAGCAGGTTGCGGAAAAACCTAAAGACACAACGCTAATGGCTTTCTTTAAATTATGCTCAACAGATGCCTTTGCCAAAACATTGATATACCCCCAAGTCCCGTCCTACTATGTGTGGTCAAACAACCGGTGGGTTCGACGAAAGGCTGGTGACCCTGTCGAGGGTTATCCCGATGTAAGGTCTAACTTTTGCCTCGGACGCGTTTATACTGTGCCCCTTAGCCAGCAGGAGTGCTTTTACCTCCGCCTTCTACTTCATGAAATTGCTGGGCCAAAGATTTTCACAGATATTCGCACTGTCAAAGGCATAGAATGCCAGTCTTATAGAGAGGCATGCTTCCGTTTGGGATTGCTTGAAGACGACTCCCAATGGGATGAAGCCATGGCGGAGGCTGAACTTCTCAGAACGCCATCACGGCTTCGAACGCTATTCGCCATTTTGCTTTTGCGATGCGATCTAAGCGATCCTCTCTCGCTCTGGCTAAAGTACAGAGAATCCATGTCAGAGGATGTGCTGTTCTCCGTTCAGCGTAACAGCGCAGGATTTGAATGCGGTTTCACTGACTTCATAATAAACAGAGCGCTGGTGGCCCTAGAAGATGTTGTTTTCGAACTGGGAGGTGCCTCTTTACCAACTTACAGTTTACCACCACCGCTCAGAGATGGTTTTGACAGTGTACCAACTAAGTTATTGCGGGAAACATCCTACTCCATCGAGGGGCTAAACGCATACATTACCGAAAATGAACCCAAACTTCTACCTGATCAGATGTTTGCTTTCACTACTATAAGAGACAGAGCAAACGGCGCCATTGGAGGTATATACTTTTTAGACGCGCCCGGAGGAACTGGCAAAACTTTTGTTACTAAATTAGTCCTGGCAGAGGTACGGCGTTGTGGGGAGATCGCTATTGCGGTCGCATCTTCAGGGATTGCTGCAACATTGCTACCTGGAGGTAGAACCGCTCATTCGGCTTTTAGGTTGCCGCTTGATCTATGCCGGTCAAAAAATCATCTCTGCAACATAACAAAGAATTTGCCACAGGCTGAAGTTCTGCGGAGATGCAAACTTATATTTTGGGAAGTTTTGAACTCCCTTCAGCCGTCCGGACTCCCACCTCATATTCTTCGTCTCAAAGTTGGTGCTCCGATTATGCTAATCAGGAATTTGCTCCTACCTAAACAGTGCAACGGGACTCGCCTCATTATTAAATCCCTTTCTCCGAACCTGATTGAGGCGACCATTGCAACTGGCTGCGGCAAGGGGGAAGTCGTTCTGATTCCCAGGATGCATCTTCTGTCGTCAGACGCAAGCATACCAATCAACTTTCGTCGCTCACAATTTCCCGTGAAGATTTCTTTTGCTATGTCCATTAACAAATCACAAGGACAGAGGCTTAGCATCACAGGTCTGCATTTACGTGAGCAGTGCTTCTCTCACGGCCAACTTTACGTTGGGTGCTCATGAGTTGGGTCTAAGGACAGGGTTTTCATTTACTCTCCCAACAACTGTGCTAGAAACATAACCTACACGGAGGTCCTGTATGCAACCCGCCCGGTAGCGTTTAAGCACCATGCACACATATGCAGTCCGATTGCATGGCAATTTTTTTGTTTGTCATATTGGTTTTAACGTTAGGTCATCGTAGTCTCCACTTGACATTACTAAGACGTCTTTGTAAAGGTTACCGAGCTCTTTTGCTGCCTTCTGACTTTCATACCATCACCCGCCATCATCGCGTTTATTTTTCCTTCAATTCCTATGTATTTTGCAAGTGAATCGTGGTTTCTTGTCTACTTACCACAAGTGCTTTCAGTAATGCTTAACGATCCAATAGGTTAAAGCAGTAACTGCTGCCAGCTTTTACTCATAGATGTCTTAGTAATGGCAAATGACTGATGCTACAACGGCTTTCCGTTACTTCCATCGATACCATCGAATACTTGGGCCTGCATGATGTCTGTCTAAACTTTGTGTGCATAGCGTTTCAACGTTTTGTAGAAACTTAGTTCCTGTCAACTTACAAAGCAAATCTTTCAAAGCAACAGCCGTCCCCAACTCTTACTGTTACATCCCCGGGCAACGCCGGGCTCTACTGCTAGTATGATATAAAATCCCCAAAAAAGTTTTAAGAAATGCGACAAATGGAAAACATTTCATTGAACCTATGTTTTTTTTTTTATGTGCTTCGCTTTTCATGGCGTCCTCAGACCCCCCCCCCAAAAAAAAAGTGAAAAAATTTGTTACTCCGTTTTTGTGTGCATGCTTAAATAATGAATATATTTGCCTATTTTTTAAAAAACTACCGGAATTAATCAGAGAATCACTGAGGCGCTGAAGAATGCTACACAAGACATGCTACAGCGTGTTTGGCAGGAGCACATATTGAACATTTTTGAAGCTTTGTGAAATCGGGTATAAAATCTATATTCCTTTGAATATCTTAGTCAAATTTTATTACATAAATAATTTATTGTTGAACATGAAGCCTCTTTTGGAGGCACGGTGGATAGCGGCTTGGATTGAGGAATCGGATAGCCGAGTTCGAATTCCAGTCGAATCCATTACATTCACTTACGTGCTAATACCCTTGGGAAAGGTGTGAATCCTCTTCTTCTGCCTCCAGCTATGGGTAAATAGCAGGACAGACTGGGTTCTATAGCCTTGTATGGCAACTGGTCTAGGAGAAGGAAAACTCTGAATTCAAAATCTGCGGAGGGTCGTTTGGGGAACTTCAGGCACGTAGTGCACCAGGTCTCTGTAATCGGCCCTTCAAAAAGTGTGGGTGGTTCTGCACAAAACATTCACCACTATAATCAAATCTCATGTACTATACATGCGGGTTTGGGGACCGCTTGTGAATTCCAAATTCCCATGAAACTCAAATATTGGAGCCGTCTCAACCCACCTCGGGTGAATGCCGGTACAAGAACAAGAGAAGATGAAGCATCTTTAATTTTGTTTGCCAGGGAGATGCAGGCAATATTAATATTTTAAATGATGCTAATTATGGGGATACAATCCGTGTATTAAGTTACATTTGGGCAGCAACATTTCTTTTTAAAAATGTTTCGTAGAATAAGTACAATTTAACTGTATTTTATTTCGTTTTTCCAGCATTCTTAAATTTTTCCGTTTGGTGCGAGTTCATTGTCCATTGTCCAAACTTTCTTACACTTCTTTAGCCATTTACTTAGGGAGATGTTTTTGAGTGCTATTAATTTGACTTCATGTTTGATTTTATAACCTGTGTATTTGTGTTGTTTTTAATCCTAGTGGGAGCGTTTATTACGTGCCTTTACTGATAATCGTAGCTTGAATTCGAGTGAGCTCTTTGTCTTGTTATTTGTCTTGGGAGAATGGGCAATACGGACAAGTTTAGCACTTCTTTACTGTCACCAAACGGGAAAATGTAAGCGTGTTGTTAATAAATAAATAATTAATTATATTTTCATTGTCTGTCATATTCAACAAATTCACACACATAGATACACACGCCCACACAAATCCAAATCTACATTAAATTCAATAAATACTTCAGAGATGTACCCTTTTAATTCGTCCACTGTGTGGGAATTTCTCTTATAAACCTTCTTTAATGCACCCCCAAAAAGAAATTAATATGTCAGATAAACATGGTAGCCATTCAATGGCGTCCCTTCTTCAGAACAATGTTAAGGGAGTACCTTATTGTCAAAATATAATGGGGAGTAACTCCATAAGTTCGACGAAGTTAGATTTAAAATGTGAGACAAATAGTGAAACATAAGAGGGCCTTTTGACCCACCCTGTATATTTACATTGATTTATTTAACCTGTATAGCTCGATGATCCTGAACGGCTGAAAAAACGTAGAGAACATGAGAGAGTTAATAAAGAAGAAAAGACTGAATATTACCTGAAATAAAATAGAATTAAGTGAGATTACTAATGACTTACAATCGACCTATTGTGGATGTTAATGTTAAAATGTAAAAAAAAAAAAAATGACCTAAATCTTGTTGTAAATGATGCCGGGAAAGACGAAACAGAAATTCGAAAATGCATAAGCATAAATATCGTTCAGAATCTAAGTATAAATTCATCATGAATTATCTTTATAAATAAAGAAAATAGATGATATGCTATTCCATATCTAGTCTTCTATATGACATTGATGCGTAAACACACTCATTTGAAGAGGGGAAGTGAAACGCAGAGTATAATGAAGTTTTAAAGAGAGTATGAAATGCAACAAAATTCACGGTAACAATAAAAATGGACAACCGTCATTTCTTGGACACCGAATAAAGAAAAAAAAATACTTGACTCATGGGGACATACTAAAGGCAAGTGAAGAGGGCAAAATCCTTCCTAATAATTGTCTTAGTGGGTCGCAACACCAAAATATAGAGAGCACGTCAAAACGCAAAAAAAATGTTACATAAAACATCAAGTAATAAAGAGTTATAGAAGGCTATGATTGTCCATATACTTAAGGTGATGATTTTTTTTCAAATCAGTTTACCTCAAGCAAGACGATAATGATATTGAAACGCAGGGGCTTACACTGAGTGAAGGAGAATGAGAAAAC